AATATAAAGACCAAGGAAGTGTTTGTCTTGCAAGTTACTTTTAAGGAAATTCATATGTAACAATCTTAGTATGGCATGGTATAAAGATATTTCTACCTTCTATACTAAACTTTCTACGGTTTGTAATCGAAAAACTTTAAAAAGGATGTGTTAGGCTCATATATCCTCGCTATGATTGTCCTTATTTGATGATATTAGAAGAGAAATCGCATGCTAAGAATTATATGCGTTATACGCGGAAATGAAACAATATACGCACAAAATGACACTCCTGACTAACTCTGCATACTTGTAAAAATATCCTTTCCTTCTATTTCAGCAATCAATAAATAACCATAAAATTAACATAACAGAAATCACGAGAAAAGATAGGTTTAAAACATAAGTTGCACGTTACACTAATTTTCATGAAGCAAAATTACATGATATCTTGAAGATCCGCTGAATAAAAAATTAAAAAGAAAACATCGAAAAGATATCGAGAGAAAATATTACTGAGTGCGAATATCGAAAGAAAATATTGATATAAAAGTACTTGGTATTAAAAGACAACTAGCGACACTGATATTATCATAATATTATCAGTAGTATCACAACATCCCTGAGCCTAACAAAAGTAGCGAATTATTTGTAATTGAAGCAGAAAAAGGTCAGGATATAAAATATACTGCTGAGTGAATTTGTCCTTAGAACACGCTAATTTGCTGTTAGAATACAAAATAGTATTTTCCATTTACTGATTTGTTCTTACAGAAAAATAATTGATAGATTCGGCAAAATAATTCAGCGAATGGCAATTAATATTTTTAACAAATAGTTTTGCTGTTCATATAGTAACTGACAGATTGGACAACATAAAATTTGCTGTGTCAGTAAATAATTTTTCTCCATGTAATTACCCAAATCCTAAGATACGAAATCGGCTCTCTTGCGCGTTTTTCTTCACCGAGGAATTGTCCACTGTGCTCTTTAACGCGAAACTTCTGTCCTAGGTGCTTCAATGGGGATGGGCATCACGGCTGTCAAGTTAACGGCGCTCGGCCGGCCGCAACTTCTGGTTAGTGAGATTATCTTTAATACCGACCTTGGCGGCGAATAAACGGTGAACTTGTGAGACGCTTTTCTACCGGAATGAAGTTAACTGGAACGCGCCTCCTCCTCTTACGTTTCAGCTTCAATTGTCAGAAGTGATCATGCGCGCGCGGCAATATATGACGGAGGTAGTCGGCGGCGAAGGTGCTGTCCTAGCGCACCACTTGAAACCCGACGATTTCATGAAGAAATTCGAGGAGGCGCACATCAAAGACGCGGCGCCGGTGCAGAAGTTTCTTCAGAAGATTCAGTCGGACAAAGAAGGGTACGCGGAAACCAGATCGAGTAACTCATTATGGCTCTCCCCTCCTCCTCTCTTCTCCTTTCCCCTCTTCCTCTCTTTCTTTCTCTTTCTCTCTCTCTCTTTCTCTGACTCTAACTCTAAGGATTCAAACACAACGAAAGGAACAAGGATCAACGAATTAAATAAAGGGAATTAGGAATGAGGAATAAAATTTCGACATAAGAACGACCAGACTTCAATCCACGGTAAAGGAATAGAAAACTAAGATTATGAATACTGTCGAAATTGTATTTCTTATAACTTGTATATTCCATTTCTTCTTCCTTATTCACTTCATTCTCTCTGATCCCTTACTCTTTCTCCCCACGAAGACAGTGCGTAATTAACTGCGGATATTGTTCGCAGTGTGATTCACTTGTTCCCATGGAGCGGCATCTTAGACGAGAATTACGAGCTGAGCGAGACTTTCCAAGTACCTGATATGAAGACGGGCAAAATGGTGAGGCTAATGTCGCAGCTCACGTCGAAGGAGGAGGAGATGTTCAGGAATATGATCAGACGTCTGAATAATATCGTCACGGTACGTAGCAACGCGCTCACACCGTCGCGAGTCTCGTCCTCGACGATAACGTTATTTAAGATTATATATAATTAATATTCGCCCGACCAATTTGTTGCTCCCTTCTCTCGCGCAGGTGGCCGACAAACTGGACGTTCGCATAATGATAGACGCGGAGCAAACGTACTTCCAGCCGGCCATATCGCGCCTGACCCTCGAAATGATGCGCAAGTACAACACGAAAAAGGTAACGCTCTCACGCTCCGCGCGGGGACACCGCGACTTTTATCACTCGGCCAATTTTCAGCGAATGATATTCTCACTGCAACAAATGGTCTACTTCTCAGGCCGTGGTGTTCAACACTTACCAGACGTATCTGCAGGAGGCGTTTAACGAGGTGAAAACCGACCTCGAACAGGCGGAACGCCAAAACTTTTACTTCGGTGCTAAGTTGGTTCGCGGTGCTTACATCGAGCAGGTCTGTACTGCGTACAATTTATCGCGTGGTGTATGCGAAACACACGATGTTTAAATCAAAGACAATTGTTTAAAAGTGCCAGCCGATCAAATTTGTCTCTTTCGTCGCAGGAGAGAGCGAGAGCGGCAGCTATGGGCTATCCGGACCCCACGAATCCTACGTACGAAGCCACGACCGAATCCTATCACAAAACGCTCATGGAATGCTTGAGGCGAATGAAGCAGTATAAGGATAAGGGGGAGGATCCCAAGAAGATAGGGATCATGGTCGCCTCGCACAACGAGGACACCGTGCGCTTCGCGATCGAGAAGTGAGTGGCTGCGAATACATACTGCATTATGTATGCATTACCACTATATATAACTAGAGCTACGTACGCGATTTTCGACCTTATGCGTATATATGTAAGGTTAAAAATCACGTAACTCTCGATCTAAGAAGTGGTAAGGCATGCATTACACTGTGTACGCTGTACGTGAAGTATAGTTAAAAAAAACCCCCCGTTTTTTATTTTCCCGCGGAAAAAGCAAAATTAACACGAAAAAAATTGAAAGAACCGGTTTTTTTTCGAGCTTTTGAAACTATAACGTGTCTACATTTTCAGAATGAAAGAGATTGGAATTTCGCCGGAGGATAAGGTTATATGTTTCGGTCAATTATTGGGAATGTGTGACTACATAACGTTCCCGTTAGGTAAGCGGATGGCGACAGCTCGTTCTCGAAATCGACTTCTCTCGGGATTTACGCGACCACGTGAATTACGATGCATACGTATAATCCGATCGTTGACGTTGCAGGTCAGTCCGGTTATTCCGCGTACAAGTACATCCCGTACGGACCGGTTAAGGAGGTGCTGCCGTACTTGTCGCGGCGCGCGCAAGAGAACCGGGGTATCCTGACGAAGATCAAGAAGGAGAAGCGCCTGCTACTGAGTGAAATCACGAGACGCTTTGTGCGCGGCAAGATCTTTTACAAGCCCAAGGGCAACTACACTCCGGTTTGAACAGTCGATTCCCTTAGTTTGCACAGACAGAATTTTAAGTATCAAGTTTAAGTAGTGGTTGTAAATTATTGAAAACTCTCCAAGACCTTGATGCGGGCACTTTGGATTGAATGCGAGCAAAAGTATGACCTGACGGACCTGTTGTGGTACTCGGAAATAGAAAGAGAGAGAGAATGAGAGAGAGAAAACTAGGCTGATCTAATAAAAAACGACAGAAGGTAAAACTTCCGTCGGCTTTATCAGATATCAGATTGGCCGAGAGTTTTTTATTAGATCGGCGTAAGACAAAGGGGGGGGGGGGAAGGGGAAGAGAACGACGCGTGCGCGCGAGTGTGCGTGAGAGATTAAAGTACACGCAGTGTTGTTTATTACGTAAAAGCCGCCTCGGTGTTGCATCGTCGAGCGTGTACGCTCAATGCTCTTCGCGTTCGGCCGATAGAAAACTATATTTGCCCCCCTCGTTTCGCCCGTTCGTCGTTTCGCCAAGGGGTTGCCAGGGACTGTGCTGCAATTAGTTTCACTCGTGCGAGAGCGTGTCTTCATCGGTGGAAGTTGGATTCGCGAGAATCGCGCCTTTTCGACGCCGCTCCGCTTCGCGCGGGCGAATTGCCCGAGCCGTCGATATCAGCCGATGATTTCAACAACGCTTAACCGAGCCACCGTTTCTTTTTCGTGCACAATACTCGGGAGAATCGATCAAAAGCCATGGGCGCAGCTTTTGCGACGCTCCGAAAAAGAAGAGGGGAGGGGGGGGGGACTGGTCTCAGCGCGTGCCACTCAGCGCTTCCCTCGAGCTCTCTGCCATTTCCTTCAGAATCTCGACGAAGATATTTCTCTCATATGTACATAACGCGCGCGCGCATTGATTATTTATGACTCGTGTTCACATAATGTTATCCATAATGTCTCTGATGGCGACAAAGACAAAAACGGAGGAAAAAAAAAGGAGAAGGAGAGAAGACGCGGGACACTATGAGATGATGTCCGACCTTGACTCGCTCAATTTTCCTGACGATCGTCGTGTCTTATACGGTGAACGGACGGTGGCAGCCGTCTATGTGCCGCACGTCTTCGTCGTCGTCTTATATGCATACTCGCTCGCGTGTAGTCACCGGGAAGCTGATATCAACTCTGCGAACAATAATCGGTCAATTGCATCGGGCATTTCGGACACGTGACGAGCTTCACCGGCGAGCCTCTGGCGCGACGTGGGGCGTGGGTAACGCGGCGATTTCCGCGAGTCTAGGAAAGGAAAGAAATGAGAGGGAGGACAACGAGGCGAATAGGTGTACCGGAGACGACGGGAATGGCTCTTGGGCGTGCGACGAGATACAGGGTGAATACAATGAGATTTAGGTATCCTATAAAATGAGAGAGGGAGAGGGAGAGGAGAGAGAGAGAGAGAGAGAGAGTGCGAATTTGTTGAATACTTCGTACAATTGTTCTTCTTGGTGCACGCGTTAATATCGAGTAGAGTAATCTTCGGGCTGAAGGACGAATGTGACAACGAATGCGGCCGGCCGGCAGATCAAGAGAGCGAGAGAGAAATACGTGATATCCTTTTCTCCCGTGTGATATATAATAGCCGCGTAATTAAGTCACGCGTATGACACATGTGCAAACAGACGTACACGCGATTAGTCCGGTTTCGCTTCAGCCTGAAATTGCTTCTCGCGCCACACACACACACACACACACACGATACGATACATCTTACGGTTCACCGTCTATCGTGAGATAAGCGCGCGCGCGCTCGTTCACAGAGAACACGCGAATACCGTATCGATAATAATACGTAATACGACACACGACCCCTGCACTCCGCCGCACCGTCTCATTTTTTTTCGCCGGGGAAGAGTCGATCGGAGGAACGGGGAACTGCAATTTTGAAAAGAAAGAAAAAACGATCAATTCGTGCGCCGCGTCTCAGATAAGAGTTTTAAGTAATTAACGAATCCCTTTTTTATCTGTTGCGAAAGAATCTAAATAGAAGGAGAGAAAGAGAGAGAGAAAGAGAGGTCTCGGCGATCGTGATCGATGTAGGAAAAAGAGGAGAGAGGGAAGAAAGCATCGCCGACTCCTCGATACGTCGCGGATAATTTAGCGTTCGCTTACTGTTGTTCGATAGTCAATCCGACGCGTGGCTGTAATTCGTAACTCCGGAAAGTGACGGTTATCAGCGAGATCATCCAGCGGTTAATTCAGCGCCTATGTTGCACGAGCATTCCCAGTCGAGTCGGGTGGTCGCATAGAGCGCATAGTTCTTGATATTCTTAGGCCAGTATTTCTTCTGATACTCGCGGTGGTCGGCTTCTGTGCGCCACACAAGTAGACGACTGCACATTATTATCATCTTTTTTCTCTTTCTTTCTTCCTTTCCTTTCTTGTTTCCTTTCCTGTTTTTCTTTTCTTAAGTATCGAACTCATCATGGATTTCATACTCAATAAACGCATCATTTCGTTACCCGAGCGATGTGTACGCGAGTACAGTCATTTGTGATCTCCTACTTTTCCTATACGTTATGCGAGAGAGCGTTACGTTTCGGAGTGTGTATGTAGCCTATATACATTTATATATGATTGTACTCTAAACAAACGAGAGAGGGAGAGAGAGAGAAAGAGAGAGAGAGAGAGAGAAAGAGAGAGAGAGAGAGGAGGTACGTTGCGTGGATATTTACTCTCTTCGTAAAGACACGTCGTACGTGCGTGTCAGCAATGTTATGAGAGAGAGAGAGAGAGAGAGAGAGAGAGAGAGAGAGAAGAGCGAGAAGAGAAATTTATGGCATGGTTGAATGTCTCTCTGTGAATCATGTTATTAGACGCAAAAGCTGGAAAGGGGAACCGGAGAAATATGAACGATAAATGAATAAATAAAGGGGCATTGTTACAAGTTACACACACGGGCTACCAATAGCTGAGTGTCCTCACGTATCTATGTGGTTGTGTCCTGCGATGAGTGAGTGAGAGTGAGTGCATGTGTGTATGTGTGTGTGTGTGTGTGTGTATGATAGAGAGAGAGAGAGAGACTCTAGAACATATACGCCGATAAATTCCGTTCATCTAAGGCTTTGTTAGCCGGCTATAAACGCGCCTCTGACGTCTCGCCAAGGCGAACGCACCTCTCTACTTTCGAGAGTAGACCGTAAGACGCTGACAATAATTTAGGTAGGCAATGTCGACGTGCTAACACGTAATACATACATAGGTGTGTACGTGTGTGTGTGTGTGTGTGTGGGTATGCGTGCGGGTGAGTGAGTGTGTGAGTCCTGCCACTTGCATTTATGTCACCCCGGCGTGACTCCCGAAGAGAAATACAGAGAGCGAGAGAGAAAGAGACACTCGACGACGACGAGGTTCGTCGATCCTGAGGACGAAGGCGTTTCTTCCGACGCGTCGGAACGGAGGAACCGTCGGCGAAACTTTCGAACGTTCGGCGGTTTTACCGATCGCCCGAAGGCGGCGGCGGCGGCGACGGGACTCTTTGTTATCTCTTTTTAGTCGAATTCCCCATATGCTAAGGATAGCAGTCGATTTTGCCGATTTTCCTCCTGCGGACCCGACGTCGCGTGTGTTTACACTGCGTTCGATGTGCGTGACTCGCCGTCACGCGCACGAGAGATCTGCTTCATCTACGGCGTCGTTGATGCGCGCGTTGCGATCTTCCTCAGCGAGTCGTTCGACGGTTCATCATCCGTCGAGTTGCCGAGACTTTTGACGAGCATCTTCGAGGAAAATCGGCGGAATCCGCCGTGAGCCAGCGATTAGCTATGAGCTGTTAGTACGTGGTTACTTTGTGGAGTACAAAAACACGTTATGCTAACGATGTCTACGATGAAAGTAATATTCCGACGAAATGAGATATTTCGGAAGAAAAATAAAATAAAAGAGCGTGCGATTTGGAGGGACAGTCGAGCGTGTGTTTGTGCTTTTCCTCGGGGGAGGGGGCGGAATTCTTTCTTTCTTAACCAAAATAAGGAACCTCTGGGTGCCAAAGCATGGATTTCATAGTGCCAAGTAAGCTCTTCCTTTCTTTGGTTGGACCAAGAAGGAGCTCTCATACTCACGCCCATTTCTACTATCATCTACTATCATAGTTGAAATCTAATCGATGATTAATTCAACGGAATTGACCAATCGCATCATCGGTCAATTAGCCGGAGCCGATCAATGCGGTTTGATCAGTTCCGTTGAGTTAATCGATCAGATTTAAATCGTGATGGTAGAAACGGGTACTAAGTCTTTCTTCTTCGGAAAGGTAATTCTCTTCTCAGCCGAGACGCGATGTAAAATAAGATAATATTTATTATTTCACGGAATACAGATAATATATGCCTTTCCAATGTGCCACCGAGACGGTACTCCTTGTTCCGCACGCGCGCATCACTAGGACATAAACGTTTCGCTTCCGTTCGCCTTCGTGGCGGACGACGATCGGCCGTCGATCGTCCGGACGCCGGCTCGATCCGTGACGAGCCGTAAGTGAGCGAGTTTATTGCTGCTGGTTAAACACGGGTTAAACATCGGACCTGGGAACGTTTTTATATCCTAGCAGTCTTCCCTTCGTCCTCCCGTCTGCGTACACGAGACCTCACACGCAGCACCACCACCACCACCACACACTTCTTCGACCCTATTTATTATTATCGTCGTTCCCTGCGATCCTCGCTCTGCGAGCCTCTCTCTCTCGGCAAGTCACAATGAACTCGAAAATCGTAAAACACGCATATGAGGCGTTGAAAAAACTGCTGCACCACGAGCCGGATATGAGATTGCGCTGGCAATTTTGCATTCCTGGAAGCGCGAGATCCATGTCGATCGCATCGCATACGCTCGATTCGGGAATTATTCAGTTCAGGAGAGTCAGCTCCAACGACCTTGACATTGATACATATTGTTGAAGAAGAGTTGCCACAGAAAATGAATTTTGATATCCTTCGACTTTTCAGACGAGTGGAGAATTTTTCATGAATGATATAATCTTAAACTTGTGAACGTTTAGAAGCAGGGATTACAGGAAAGGTAGTTTATGTTATTAGAATCAACACAGACTTGAAAGTTTAGTAACATAATATAATTAATATCATCCTGAGTGTAAATTCAGGCCAACAAAAAAATAATTATTGGAAAAAAGGATGCTAAGAATATTTAAAGACACTGTGAGCAAAGTTTAAAATTCCAGACTTTTCTATATACTTCCCCGACTTTTTCAGGTTTTCCTTGGAATTTTAAATTTTTATGACTTTCCGGTTTTCCAGGTCTGTGGCAACCCTGGTTGAAGTCATGGTTCTAAGTAACCTATTGATTTTAACTGTCATTGTTTATAAAAAAATATTAACAAAAGAAGTTTCATAAACAATATGATGTTTTTCGATACTATATATATTTAAAAAATAGGTGATGTAGGGAGTTTGTGAAGCTTATGAAGAACCGAAGTGTATAAGTAAAATAATACATGTATATGCATAGTTCTCCCATTTGTAAAAGTTAATCTAACTTTACCCTTTTGTTCTTTTGTCAAATGTTACGTTTTCGACACTACGTAATATAGATTAAACACTACCTATTTTTTAATATATACCGTGTCAGAAAATTACATTATATTTATAAAACTTCTTTCGATTATATCTTTTCAATAAACAATCACAGCTAAATTCTTGACAGCTAAATTCTTTTAAATAATCCTCAAGGTAATGTCCTTGATAGCATATCTCAAAGTCAAAACCATTGAAGCTGACTCCCCTAAACTGAATAACTAACCTCGATTCAATCGATATTACACGGAAGAAATTCAGTTCCTGCCACTGAATGGGACCAGATGAGAACTCGGTGACAAGAAGTGAAATATCGATGACGAGAAATGATATTTCTGCTACCACAATTGATGCCCGTTTTTACCATCATGATTTAAATCTAATCGACGATTAACGCAACGGAATTGACCAATCGCCATTGGCCAATTAACCGAACTGATAAATGCGATTGGTCAATTCCATTGAATTGATCGTCGATTAGTTTAAAACCATAATATGGTAGAAACGGGCATGATAATATTCGTGTGTGTGAATATTCAGCTGCGTTAAAACTTGAATGAGACGATTGAGAGCAATTGACCGAGTAGAAAACTCTTATAGTAATTTTTCTTACAATCGAGTTTTCGTTTGGTCCGCAGACAAATTTAATCACAATTGTTTTCTTCGTGTACTTACAATTTAATTGCGATCGAACGATGTCGCACTCTTCCGAGTTAGAATATACCGTTCGTTTAAACCTACTTACCTAAGCGAGGTGAGACGCGACGAGATTGACATTTAGTGATTGCTACTTTGAATATCGAGTAGCTCCCGGGAAATGTGCGTTCTTCACGAGACAATTCTCCCTCTTCTCGTTCAAGTTACCGCCGTAAACGCAATCTCATCCGTGCGTCGCAGTACTTTATATGGCACGACGTAACGTTGTACATAATAAAAGCAATTCCGTTCATGTAACCAAGTTTTTTCTGTCGCCTGGGAAAGAACGGGAATTAGATGGAATCTTTCTGCTCGTACTTGATCATACGAGCAGAAAGATTCCTGCGAAAAGTTTCTACTCAGTCAATATTTTTCAGTTACTCCAATACGAGTTTCAGCATAGCCGAATGTCCCTTGGTAACAAAGATATAATTTCTCGTTACCGCAAATTTTTCGTCCGATCCCGGTCCAGTTACATGGATTTTGCTTCTCGTGTGCGAACAAAAGCGCATGGAAAAAAGCTCAGTTCCTGTAACCGAGTAGAGATAAAAACTCGATAACAACGGACGAAAATTCGGTGACAAGAAATGATATCTCTGAGAATATTCATGCGAACATCCAGCCACGTTAAAACTCGGTTGAGACCGTTGAGAGCAATTGATTGAGTAGGAACTTTCTACAGGAATTTTTCTGTCTATACAGTCGAATTTATGTCTTGTCTTCAGGCAATGAAAAATTCAGTTACACCAATGAAATTGTTTTCTTTGCGTACAGTTGGTAAATTGAAGACTGCAATAAGATTTCTTTCGATCTCGCAACGCATCCTCTGTCCAACAGGAGAATTTGTTCTTTAATAATTCTCAGAAGATACATTTTTCTATTGGATACAAGACACGTTGCGAAACTCGTCGAAAAAGCAAGTGCTGCAATTTTTAATCTATCGACTGTACTAAAGACTTCATCAATGCGGTTCTCATTCCCTCGATATAGTAACATTAAGATTTCCAATTAGGCGTGTTATTTTTGAATATTTGTGCATCATGATTGTTGCTTTGAAAAATCCTTGTCGATTCATCAAATTGTCAACAGCCATGACGCACAAATAACGTTCCTGGTTAGGAATTTTCGACGTCACTGTGCCCAGAGAATGAGACAGCATTAATAGAGACTTCTCTACATTCCCGAGTCGAGAGGGAGGCAAACGGGAGATCAGACGCAGCGTATTTTCCGTCAGACGACGTCACATACACCAGGGAGCATTGAATATGCCCTACTCAGAAGGACCTATCCGATTGTGTCCAAAGTTACAGAACACCATCATGAGACCATCATGAACCCATGATTGTTTCACAATGAATCGGAAACCACTTCTTCAACTTCCCTATTCAGCAAGTTTCAGCCTAATCCGATATATTCTTCTGGATCGGGCATTTTCAATGCCCCTTAGTGTGAATCACGTTGATATGTTGCCCTTCGTGCCCGATTCGACCGCTTGACACCTTTCGCCCGCACGACACACCTGTGTGTAACATTAAACGAGATAACACTTATTAATCTCCCTTAACTTTAGCGCGACTACTAGGTTCCGCTTAGTCTAGGATCCGTAACAAAACGCAGGCTAATACGTTTCGTGCGCCCGGCCGGCGGACGATCGCGAGTCCACCTGCGGTTCCGCGTGGGGAGAATCGGACTGAACGTTTTAATCACGGGCGCGTTATTCTAGCCGCGATGGCGCCCGATGGCGAGTTACACACGAGCCAAGCGACACACCGCCAAACCCCTCGCGGCGAATCGCCGGGAATCGGGCGGCCCCGTACGTCGCTACTCCGCTCGTTTGAGAGACGATTCTACCCTGTCGCCGCGAACGCGCGAGTCTTTGTGTCTCCTCTGACCGAGGATCATCATAAAAAATCCTACCGCGCAAATGTGAGAATCGTGTTATTTAGGGCTCAGTCACAATGAGAGGCACAAGGAACAAAGAATTAAATAGGAACAGAGAATTAGAGGGACAAAGAATTAAATTTCGACGTGTGGACAGCTTACTTCAGCCCACGACAAAAGAATAGAAAACTAGGATTAGGAACACTACCGAAGTTCTGTTCTTTATAATTGTGTGCTTACAGGGCTAGTAGTTGGCTAATTGTTAACCTTTAAAATGTCCAATGTCCGTTTCTACCATCATAATTTAAATCTAATCCATTGGCTCAACGAAATTGACCAATCGCATTGGTGAATTAGCCTGATCAATGCGACTGGTCGACTAAATATATATATATATATAATTCCCTATACTTAATTCCTCGTTCCTTATTCCTTACATTGTGCCTGATTCTTTCGGATCGCTTGACGCGAGCGCGCGGCGGCGCTCATTAGAATATTACCGCTACACAGTTCACTCTACGTCTCGGTCTCTCTCGACCTCGACGGCAACGACGAGAGTCCCGATCGCGGGGATTAATTAACTACATACTTCGGGGTATTAATTACTTGTCGCGTGCGCGCGGTTCCGAGCGATTCGGATTAATACAAAATGGCAAGAGTCGTTCGTTCCGAAAAAATCGATAACGCGCTCTCGCGTACACTACGAGCTATGCACACGACGGGTGGTGGAGAGAGAGAGAGAGAGAGAGAGAGAGAGAGAGAGAGAGAGAGAGAGAG